TTTGTCAAGTTTGTGATGATTTGTGCGTTGTGCTTTTATGCATTCCATTCCACTACAATACATCACATTACACTACACTACACTACCATGCATACGTACGTACGTACATGTTCTCGTTCTTTCACCTCGAAGATGTCTTCGATCGGTGGGGCTTCGGACGCAAGTCCAGCATCTCAATCGTATGAGCATCACAAAAGAGATCAGAAGAATGCTGAGCCATGTCCAGCCATTGTAGCAACAAGCACAGAAATCAGCAGCAGCAGCAGCACACGAATTGGTGCATCGCACTGTGCATGAGTGCATGATTACGTGTTTTTCTGCAACACATGCTACTCTGATGCTGACACGGTGGCCACAATGTCCTATATGAAGAACATCAAATGTGCAACCCTCTTTTGCTGCTTTGCATCCTTGTATCTTTCTCCACTCGGAAGGTGTTTCACGTTTTTTGTCCCAGGCTTCGCCCGAAACTACTCACTTACCTACCTGCTTCTCTTCTCTTACACACAGGGTTCGGTGCACACACTTCGTGTTTGCAGGTTGAAAAAGGCATGCGGCATCGGCGCTGTTCTTTGTGCACTATTGTGCACCACAGGACGATGAAAAGATGTCCATCCACTCTCACTTGGCTAGCCACTGCTGTCGAAAACAAGGTGCCCGGGGCCGCAAGGTCTCTCTGGTAGTGGAGCACATGAACCAAGAGGGCTTGCAACGTGAGTTGCCAAGTCACTCTCCAACCGATATTGCAGCGGCACTTTTCCCTGCACCGGCCCACTGAAAGCAACGACGGGGACTGGCAAGCTTGTAATTACTTGAGTGAATGTCCAGCAATAGCAAACCGCCACAGCACTGGGGCAAAACGCCGAGCACTCGGTTGCGCACCTGAAATTACAGTACAGTGAAAACAGCCCCTGAATTGAAAGCCCCCTTCTTGCTTTAAAGTAGGGGATGCAGCAGACTGGGGGTCTGAGTCTGCTGTTCGTGTCACGTGTTAGGTCCTAGTCGTTTCTTTCGAAGTAGCGGCCAGTGCTGCAGGCCCCACCCTCAGGATGCGGGTGAGCGCAAGAGACTCTGTGTTTGTTGGTGCTTGAGTGTAGTGCTGAAGGCCTCCCCTGCAGGATGCAGGTGAAGATATTTTTTGCTTGTTGGCGTTTTAGTGTAGTGCTGCAGGGACCGCCCATGATTGATGCAGGCAACTGCAAGAAGTGCTTGCGCGCAGCGCTGGCGTGTAGTGTTGTAACCCCACCCCCTTCACGCGCGCAAGTGAGTGAAGATTGGTTATGTAAGCGGTGGGCAAGTGAGTGCCCGGCGGGCGCCGGGACACCAGGTGGAGGTTAGATATATATATATATATATATGTATAGATGGATAGATAGATGAATGGGATGCGATTTTTTGTGTTGCCTAGCGTGCTGTTGCCTGGTGTCGCAACACCGCAGGAATTGCTGCCACGACTTTGCCACTCACTGCAGCAGATCAGAGTCGCAGGGCCCAGTAGGTTCTTGCAAGTCCTTCGGCTGTGGCTCCTTCAGTCCCAAGCATAGTTGTCAATGCAACAAGGCTGCTGGGAAATGCGCGAGAAGCAGTGGGAGGCTGTTAAAATGTTATCAGTTATCAGTGTTTTGAACTGGCAAACAAGGTTCAAGCACTCTAAACGTTCAGATCTAGGGGGCATGAAATAACAATTCCATTGGTCCATTGGTTTTGTAAAAAAGAAGGATTAATGAGGGGAGTGTAAAAGGGCCCTTATTACGAAAGGTAGCGGTTACGCTACCTGAGTTTTCCTTTTGCTTTAGCAAAAATGAATTATAACCAGAGTGGACACCCATCTCACTGAGAAATCGCCTCCGACATTTACTTTTTAAGGGGGCCCCCCCCTTTCAACTCCACCCTGGCGCGGGTCTTTGTCAACAGCCACCAAACACTGTAAATAGCAGTGTTTTCAGCTCCTCCAGTCTGCAAGAGTGGCCTCAAACCACGCAATTTACAGGCAGGGTTTTCTGTGGTTGTCCGGCCAAACACCTCGTAAAACCAATGGTTTTTGAAGTGTCTAGGCTTCAAAAATGGTCGAGAAATTGCCGGCTTTTGGAGGCTTCCAAATGGCACAAAACGATGGTATTTACACGGGTTTGCGCGCCTTCCCGGCACAAAACCCTGTAAATTGCGATAGTTTTGGGCTGCGTACGCTTCAAAGTGGCCACAAAACACCGTAAATACCAGTGTTTTCATGTGTTTTCAGCTCGCCTCAAACCACGCTATTTGCAGGTTTTGTTGTGGCGGAAAGGGCTTTTGCGGTGCTTGGAGGCTTCAAAGTGGCACAAAGCGACGGTATTTACACGGGCTTCTGCACCTTCCTGCCACAAAACCCTGTATATTGGGAGCTATATACGCTTCAAAGTGGCCACAAAACAACGTAAATACCATCAATACCAGTGTTTTCAGCTTGTCGGAAAGGGCTTTCGGCTGTTGGAGATTTCAAGTTTTCATCACGCTAAGTAACTTGACCTACCTCAGTTCCCCTCATGTCGCAATAATATCTCACACTCAGTACTTGGTGCTTTGCCTGAACTTTGATCCTCTAGAAAAAGCTTCTGTTGGACAAGGGGGTCCCTGGCCTTTTGCAGGGTTACGCCTGATTCCCTGCCACCTTTCGTTCACCCCATCCTCTCTCAAGTTAAAGGGTTCAATACTTTGGGCTGAATACCAAGAGTTTGGATTTGGTTCTGTGGATACTGTCAAGGGAGAGAAATTACATACTGATATAACAAGATAAAAGGTACCCCCTGATCCTGTGCTGCACAGCTGCCTCCGACTTGCTTGCCGGTCCGGAACTGCCAGCTGTCCTCAACTGAGAGGTCCACAATCAAAACGGCGCCCCGCTTGTGCTGAGAAGGAATACAAGGAATACAATGTTCTTTTTGCTGAAGGTCCATACGAATCCATCCTCCATGACTAGGGTCCGGCCACTAGCTATGACCATACGTCACTTGCATCTTGGACAGCTCATTACTACGCGTCAATTAGTCGTCCATGAACTGCCCCGTGCAAGGCTTGCACTGTCTTTGGCTCATGTTGCCATGACTATGCGAAGCAGTGTGCTCATGGGGCGACCTGTGCGAACTATGGCTGTGGGACCTTCAAGCCGCTTCATGCATGTCAGTGCCACTCAACTAAAAGGAGATTTTCTGTACAGAGGAGCTTCAGTGCGATCACTAGAAATGTAAGTGTCCATTTACATCCCTAAGGTTGTGTCTGCCAGACCCCTTTATTCTAGAAGTTAATCATTTTGAAAAAAAACAATCACAAAATGCAACCAGAAAAACAAAAGCAATCATAAAAGCAAAAAAAAGAGCGAGAAAAATTAATCCCTAAGAATTCTGATTTCTTGCAAATGTGTGCGAATCATTTTCTCTCTCCCTCATGGGCGTTACCACGACACGATAACCAAAACTCACCTGACATGATGTTATCTCAGCGGTTTTCATGAACCATCCAGTGAAGGGGCATGGACAGAGTGAGAGAGGAAATCCGGTTTGCTATCCTTCTTCTTTGTAGACTTGTGATGGATGCAACTGCTGCTGCTGCTGCTGCGGCTGCGGCTGCGGCTGCGGCTGCTGCTGCTGCGGCTGCTGCTGCTGCTGCGGCTGCTGCTGCGGCGGCTGCTGCTGCGGCTGCTGCTGCTGCTGCGGCGGCTGCTGCTGCTGCTGCTCGAACCATGGTGATGAGTCGCACGAATTACTAAACTTGGACAGAAGTGTTGGCTATGTCATTTCAGCCAAGGTGATGCCGAATGTCATCAACACAACAACTGCTGCTCAGACTTCAAAGAGTCTTGCAACGCCGCCCATCCTGGGCATCCTGGTCCTGACGCAAACGCCAACTTTGGGCGAAGTTTCAGCGGTGAGGGCAACTCCTGTGCGAGGATTGGCTGTGGTAGCTACAAATCCGGCGAGCCTTGAAGCTTGGAAAGAAGGAACGCTAGTACAGACCGTACAAAAGCACACTGACTGTATAGCCTGGATGTATCTTACGGTTTTACAGTTTTCCATAGTACTGCAGTACCAGTCAAAAATATCGAAACCGTTCCGTGAGAACATTGCAAAACTTTTGACTCCAAAGCACGCTGTAGATGCGAAACAAACTAGAGCCCAATTCGCAGCCTTGAGCTGTCCACTGCCAGCACCTCGTTTCCAAACTAAGAAAAGATGCTCAGAAAACTTTAAACTCAAGCCCCATAGTCCACATTTGACCTCATCTTGATCAACAACCTGCAAATCCCACGCTGGCTTCATTGCTTGTGTCATGGCCATTCGTTCTTGCAGCCTGAGGCCAATGCAACGCGGGCTGTCGGAAGCACGGCAACTGCTGCCCCGACTACGAAGCCACTTGCTCGTTGCCTCCCGGGCCCATGTCCACCTGCGCGGTACTCGGCTGCGTCGAATTCCGAGAAGGTAACGATTGTCAATGTGATGAGGAGACGACGTATTTGGCATGTTTTTGATTTGGGCGTTGCTTGTATCTTACGTTAGAGAAAAATAAACATGACATACTTCAACCTGGCCAGGAGTGCAGTAAACACAACAGCTGCTGCCCAGACTATTCTTTTGTTTGCAAGCCGAAGGCAGTTTCGACAAGGGTGAAGTGAGCCAATCCATCAAAAAGCCCAATCGTGCGCAGCAGCTGCATTCAACACAGTTCGGGTGCGAATCCACTTGAACACAGTTTGTGTGGAGTGAATCCATTCGCCCTGTGCTCAAAGTTCTGCCAATTACTTCGTGCACTTGATGACAAGCAGAGGATTTGGCACCTGTATTTTCAGACCTCCACAATGGAGCGTGACTTAGTTTCATGTAGACGCCAAAAATGGTTGCGAGATGGAGCAGATGGTGCCTGGGCTTAGCTCTACATTCCATGGTTCTTTAAGGATGGATTCATCCGTAAAATTTGGCTCTCCTATGCGAGTGAAATTAGCTGTGCCTTTGGGACTGTAATTTTGGGAGGCAAAGCCAGGCAATGCTTTGACGGAGAGGCTTGGAGCCAGGAGGCAGGCCGACAACCACGGAGTCTATGAGACCTTTTGTGAAAATTGTGAAAGTGCCTTTGTTAAGGCCGTGAGTTGGTATCCTGCAAGTAGCTGTAAGTAGCCTACGGCGGCATAAGAAGCTAGTAGCTTAACTGCTTGGCTTCTTCAAGGAAGCTCCGGCTGCCTGAGGGGAGGAGCTTCCTGTATAATGTGTTCTTCAAATGCCAAAGAATCTCCAAGAGCACATATTGAGGAATCAAATCCTTATGTCAAAAGTTGCAAAGCAGGGACTTATGTAGACTTATACCTTATACTATAAGATATTATTCATGAAGAAATGCAGTATATCAAAAGTACGGATCTTTGGTTCCACGAAGTCAGTGAAAGAATATACAATTTCATTCTTATATACTATATTATACACCTTCCATCACAAAGCACAGTTCGGGGAGGAAGGATCAAGTTTTCGAGCAAGAATTGAGATAGTCAGGACAGAAAGAGACATGTAGGATTTCACTTGCCTTGCACCCTGCCAGCATCCGGATGACAAAAACCACTATATCACCTTCGACGAGGAGGACTTGATTGCTCGACTACCACATGCCCAGGCGAGATCCTGCAGACAACAGTACCTGCAGGATGAAAGTGTTTGCCTTTAGCCCATATTGAACTCGGGCAACAGTTTGGACCCACAAAAAAAAAAGAAATGCTCGAGATCAGCAGTCTCGAGTTTTGTTGTCTCATGTCTCCGACCGAACACCACAGATGTGTTGGAAACGGATTCCGTTCTATGAGAGTGTATGTCACTTGCTGCTTCATCTAGCGCTTCCTGGAGTCACTTGTCACAAATCATTTGATGTGCCTTTTGTAGTGACCCAGCAGACTCAGTTGCACCAATCAACAGCGAACGGCTTCGCAGTTTTGGCCTCGGTGCCAGGATCAAGCTGAAGAGTGCAAGGAGGCGCTCATGTGGAATAGTTCATGGGAGGAATAGCAAGAGAACAGTCCATAAGGATCCATATATGAAGGCCCTTTTAAATTTGCTAAAACAAAGCTACCCAAGGAAGGAGTTATGCCAAAGAGGGCTGCGGCGATTCTTCTCTCTTTCAGACAGTTTGAGTATCCAGGAATGCCTGCGCTGGGCATTCGGGCTTAAGCAAGGTGCGCTGCTCCTGCATTCATCAAACACTTCAAGAATAAAACTGCTGATGAGCAGCAAAATTCAGGAACGTCGATGTGCAAACTACCATGGAGACAACAGAGTACAGTAGCATAAGGATGTGTTCTTCAAGATATCTTGAAGCCTTTTCGAGCAATATAGGTGCTCATTCCCAGAACCTGCAGATCCTGCCTTTTGTGATGTATGATGAGGCTGTGTTAGGGCAATGAATCTCAATAGAAACTGCTTTGGATTTGTCTTTGGTCAAATATTTGTCGTAGGCCAAGTAGCTTGTGAACGGGTGCTTGGGCCGTTCCCACTCAGATTTATGCGGCAGCATCCTTAAGGGATAGCCACCCTGAAATTCGGGCTCCCTGACACGGCCGACTTGAGTGGTTTCGGTTTGTTTGTGTGAGAACCATCCAGGGCGAGAGCAGTAGGAGAACAATTCTTCAAGAAACGACAAGGCAGACAAAGACAGCTACTAGCGATGGTCTGCAACATAATCGCGATGGCCTCCAACCTAGTAGCGAGTGAAAGAGTTCCTTGGAACGTGTGGATGTATTTTCTTCTTTGTTGGCAGGCACTGATGTGCTCGGAGCCCAGATGATGATAGATGATGCATTGTTGGCATTGTTTCAATTTCGGAGTCTTAGAGAGTCCTATCACTAAAGTCCTGGAGGTGTTTTGGTTCTTTTATTCTCATGCGGTTTTATTCTCCAGATGCCAAGAAGGCAGTTCGCCTCAACGGACTGACTTGACAGGCAAGGATGGTATCCTCAAATCTTTGTAGACTTCGACGGCGAGTGAGGGGCCCGAGGAATACGCCGAGGGCAGCATATTCCTGGCGGTGCAGGAAGTGCCAAAGCAGGATTCATTTGTCATGCAAAGGGGCCTAAGCAGAGCGCTGGTCAAATCCACTTGGATAATCAACAAGCTTCCTTTCCCGCGAGGGTAGGACTATTTTTCTGTGGGTGAACTGCCAGCAGTCCGCTAAACCCAAAGCTTTCCCAACATTTAAAAGGCTTAAAGTTTTGCAGAAGGCATGGATTTTCGATATGCACCGAGACTGGAGTACTGTAGCAGCCACAGATTGAATGGGATTGAAAGCATATTCAATAGACATGATGGGCAAGCTGCTTTTTGCTACTTGCAGCAGATTGTGCCAGACAGAACGTAAGCTGGCAGCCTCCCTAGAGCACTGCAATGCAATGCAGGGAGATACAGGCTGTAGCAGACACAGCAAGTGTTTAGAGTGCCAGCACTTGAGGCTGGCATGAAATGTGTTCACAGCACATAGCAATACTCTGAAAGAAAAGTAGTCTTGAGCATCGCAGATATGCATTGATGGGCGAAGGCAATTGAGCAACATATGACATAGGATGAATATGAGCCACTTGTCCAAAGCAAAAGGTGTGTGAATCCATGTGAATCCCTTGTTGCTGGGATGCTTGGATCTGCTTTTCGCACCGCATTGCTTCGTGCGGAATAGTGCGGACAATTGGCTGGAGGAGTCTTAACTCCCCTCACGGCTGCCATTGAAAAACGGGTTGACCGCGTGAATGTTGTTGTTTTTCATGTTGTTCGTCGACTTGCCCCGAGTAGTTTAAAGTAGATAATTTGCAGGCAAAGGATGAATCGTTGAAACACGCAAGAATGCTGTAAATGAGGTTGCTTTAAGTATTAATTGATACCAGTGTGTTCTTTGCCAGAGACCATTTTTTAGCCCGATAGCATACCAAACATATCAAACCTAATGACTTTACTTCGAGTGATCCCCACCATTACATTTCAAAACATCACCCTCCTTGTGTATTTCAGCCCATAGAACAAGACCTGTGCCCAACTAAAAATACAACTCAGATCATTTCAGTAGTGGTCGTACTGGGCGGCCCAAAACTGAAAAACTTTCAGGGCCCGAGCAGTAGTAGTAGTAGTAGTAGTAGGTAGGAGTAGTAGTAGCAGTAGTAGTAAGTAGTAGTAGTAGTAGTAGTAGTAAGTAGGAAGTAGGAAGTAGTAGTAGTAGTAGCAGTAGTAGTAGTAGTAGTAGTAGTAATGGTAATTAGTAGTAGTAGTGGTAGTAGTAGTAGTAGTAAGTGTATTATGTAGTAGTAGTAGTAGTAGTAGTAGTAGTAGTAGTAGTAGTAGTAGTAGTAAGTAGTAAGTAGTAGTAAGTAGTAGTAAGTAGTAGTAAGTAGTAGTA